TCTGTGAAAAAAAATTGTGCAGAAAGCCATTGCAACCTACACTGTTGCATTCATTTTAATGCTTTACCGGTGTTTGCAAGTTATGGTGGATGTTATATTTTTTTAACCAAGAGACATTCGTTTTTGAAGAACATCTTAGCTGACCCTCACTACTTTTTCCAAAACAAAAACAACTAGAAGCACCAAAAGACAACAGCATCTTAAACCTTCCTTGAAAACCAGCAATCATTAAGTGGGCCACGTGTTGACATGCTGGTTCTCTGCCATAAGCATGTCACCCTTATTGCCCCTGCGTTCTGTCTGGGTCATGTGACCACACCAAACACGTACAAGATTATTATGAGATGACAACTAAATAAGGCTGTTTTCATCAGAGTGGACACTAGATATAAACCCGTATTGACAATATTACAACTGAGACGAAACAAATAAATATATGCTTTGATAACAGATCTGATAACCAGGATAAGCAACCAATTATTTTTTTTAATTCTACTATTTGACTGGATAACGTATGCACTATGAATAGTTTGGTAAAATATTAATACTTTATCTTAATGATCCTAAATGATTTGACAAGCAGAGTTTTCTTTCTTGTGTTGATGTATTTGGACAAAAAAATTATATACATCTCTGACTTGAGTGGCTGTTACATGAAAAGTCTAAAAAAGATTAAAACTGATGATGAAACATTCTTTAAATTTTAGTCGATTTATATAAATATTAAACACGTATCGGACAATTTCTTAGATGGATTTCTGTACTGGTAAATTTGATGGTGATTCTGGATATAACATCAGCTCTTTTGGTGCCCTTCATGAAAGTGAGCAAACGAATATAAACTACAATAAAATAGACTATAACAACAATTTATTTCACTTAAGTTTCTTATGGTTCTTCTGTGGTGCTAATTATTATTGTACCATTTATTACCATGTAGGATCATTATTTCTGTCAATATTTACATCAGGTGAATTTAAGAACATTTAAGTTTTTGTAATTTTGCATTTTACTTCTGCACACGCTAGAAGTTTCTGTAACACTCTGTAATTTTCTAGTGCTTTATGGAACATTCCAGAACATTGTGGGACTAGTCATAAAAGACAAAAATCGTCCAACATACACTTCTGAAGTTTTGGACGACTCACTTTTGGCATATGTTTATGTTAAACTGTTCTTATACACAAGTAATAACAGATTAACTGGTAGTCCTGTTGTACTTTTTATAACAATTACAATAACTGGGTAATAACTAGGCACTGAACCTACCCCTAAACCTAATATTAATCCATGTAGTTACCTTGTACTACCAGTACTTCCTTGGGTAAGTATACAATACTGTAAAATAAAGTGCAATCAATTAGCTTGGATGAGTTTTCAGCAAATGTGACTGTATTCAGCATGTCAAACATCATAAAGACACATTAAAAATAAAGTCAAACAAAACTTGTACAAATTTGTTTCACAGTGTACTTAAAGCAATTGAATTCAATTTCAGTCCCTAAATTTAAAAATTGAAATTACAATTCAGCATTATGCTTCCAAGCTCAATTCAAATGTAGAAATTAAAGGCATTCTCACTTCAGTTCTGAATGGCTCTCAGCTCTGCTGGATGGAGGTCAAACTAATGTGCTTTATAGATCACCAGCATCACTCATCACCAAAAGAAAACCAAGTGTTTCTTGATATCAACAGCTACTGCTATAACAACTGCTATCGTGGTATCAACACTGTTATCTAATCAGATTTCAATAGCACTTTATTCGGCTTGCACACCATAGCATGCAAAGGCACGATTGCCTTCTATCTATTATATCTGATTTATATCTGTCATATCTGCTTAAATAAGACAATATCTATTATAGTGAAATCTTCCATTGAAAAGCTGATAACTCACGGGACAGACACCAATTAAGCCTTAACGGTTATATGAGACCATAAACCAGGGGTGTCCAAACTCGGTCCTGGAGGTCCAGAAGAGTTTAGCTCCAACCCCAATTAAACACACCTGAACCAGCTAATCAAGCTCTTACTAGGCATACTAGAAACTTAAAGGCAGGTGTGTTGAGGCAAGTTGGAGCTAAACTCTGCAGGACACCGGCCCTCCAGGCCGAGTTTGGGCACCCCTGCCATAAACAGTGACCCTCAAAATTTGGAAAAACTAGACCATGTACTGGTTTTCCACAGTGTCAATAGGTTGATAACACATCAGTGATGGACTGAATTTTCCAACAGTAAAGAAAGAGTGAAGTTCACAGTTTTCCAACAGCTCTGTTATCTTGCAATGACATCAACCTTAGACCCTCTTTCTTGCCCAAATGGTCCAGTCATGTGAAAGAGTCCATTTTATATGTTCAAAAAGTAACATGCTCAATAAAAGCAACCTGCACACCTGTGTTAAAAACAGGTCCCATTTTACACCATACTAAATCACAGGATTTACTCTATAGTGTTAGCATTAAATAAAAGTTTAAGGACAGTACGGGTTATTTAGTGATGACATCCCATTGTTTGGCCCCAAAAATGTTATATTATATTGTAATATATATATCCCTTTTTTGTGTGTGTGTGTTATGTTAGAATCATTATTATACTCATACCTTTTGTTCTTTAATATTTTGAATTGTTTTTAGCTTTATTTTTTGTTTTTCATTTAAATGTTAAGGTTTGAAATTTTGTTGTATGCATTTGTCATTTTTATTTAATTTCTTTATTTTTAAAATGTGTATAGGTAGTATTTATACGGTTTTAGCTTTTAGTTTTGGATCTGTTTTTCGTTGTTTTAATACTACAATTGATTGCTTCTGTTGTCCTCATTTGTAAGTCGCTTTGGATAAAAGCATCTGCTAAATTACTAAATAAAAAAATATATGTATATGCATATGCCTGAACAATAAATACTGAGATGTTTCTCAGATCATCTTTTATGTTCCCTAGTTTATGTTAGGCTGTTATAGCCTAAACATTTATGTGTAATAAATTATATGTTGAATCAAATAACATATTTATTTTTAAACCTACTATTCAATGTTGATACTTTTCTAATTTAACACAATAATAGCTTTAAATTATCTTGTGTGGGTATTTTCAAAGTCAAATTTTGTTTGCAATTAGTTAGATTAAGTAATCGCCACATCACGTAATTAATTAGATCAAAATTTTGAATCGAATGACTATATATATATATATATATATATATATATATATATATATATAGTCCCCTTCACTTGCATTGTATAGGTGCTCACTATCAACATAAAATTTAAAAAACAAAAAGATGACCAAAAAAACAATAATAAATCATCTTCAAAAAGCATTCAAATGTACTGATTGGGTCATTAATCTTAATCAGCTGCTTTGATAGAATTCTCTGCAGTGATGTGATTGCATGTTGATTAATTGTTGTTTTGTAACATGTTTTAATTCCAACAAACATTATGATAATGATTTGTCATTATAGCTCTAAGCAGGCCTAAGTTATCAGATAACGGATGCAAGTAATGAAACCATACTTACAACCCTTCCGTGTCCTGTCAAGCGTAAAAATCACACCTAGGCAGAGCAAAGGCCTTCTTATAGGTGAGTCTCAGACTTTATTAGCCACCTTTGACCCGCGGGTCAGTCAGGATTCTTAGAATACGAGCATTAAATCCTTTCAGCAATCTCTGAATACCTCTTCGGCAAACAGTGACATTCCCAGAAGTGATCTCATTGGGTAGCTCACTTTACTCTTTTACAACACGTGTTGTTTATATGACCTTGAATATACTCCATTTTTCTTCAATCTATAATAATCGACTCTCATTTTTGCAAAAGAATTACTAACTTGCCTCATAAAGGCAATAACCCTTAAAATGCGTCATACTTTCTTTTATCAATGGACAGTACAGATCCACTTTTAATCCTACAGTCTGGACTGGTTTAACAGCTTTACGTTTATTGCTGCTCATCAAAATCTCAAAATTCAGTTGCTTTCGAATTATTACATAATTACCTATGCCTCTGCATTGAGAGTTTATACAATAAGAGAGCACAAAAAAAATCAAATCAACTTATTTTATTCATTTAACACATCATTGACTAACTAGATCATATTTAGCGATTATAGAGCTTGTGAACACCACAGGAGGGTGGGCTCCTCTCAAGGTTTCTCCTTGCCAAAGTTCCCTTGGGTTGAGGACTTAGAGACATTAATTTCTGAAAAGCTGCTTTGAATCAACACGGATTGTGAAAAGCATAAATAAAATAACTTGAGAGCTAATCACTCTTTATTCCAAAATCGTGCAGCCGTTGCTGCCTAGTCTGCAGACTTATCACTCATTAGTGAGTTCAAATAGAATGCACAGGGTTTATAGGAATTACTGTAGATAATTTATATCTGATCATTTTGATATGTTATCACGTTTACAGATCAGACGTGATATGGATTATCTCTAGTCAATCTTAAAGGATTTCTATGGGTGTGTCAAATTTGGATAAGCAAATATGTTTATCTGTAGCGCATCCTTATCTTTGAGTTCAGCCCTTTCAGGGCCTTCAGGTTATCATTATGGTGATGGGCTGCATAAAGTCATTGGTGAGGACA